AAGCGGAAGCGAATGGATGGATGGATAAACAAAAAGTCTCAAGATGACACTAGAAATCATGACCTGAGAACCTCAAAACAGCCACTGCTTTCCTTTTCTGCAGTCTCCTGTCAGAAACTGTGGATAGTTTTAAAGAGACAGACAAACGTCCTATAAACAGAAGCATGATTAGAGAAAGTGAAGTCTTGCAGAGACAAACAGAGCAAAGTCAAAAAGGTGAAACAGAGAAGGAAGGATTTCAGATTTCAGGACCGGAACAGCTCTTTCTCATTACTTTTGTCATGGACACAGTTTGATAGATTGCTATGATTGGATGTGGTGGGGGAGCTGCTGTTATCACACAGTGCTTAAATAATGCTTAAATAATCAGATTAAATAGTTGTTAAGGCCTGGTCCATTTTAATAACATTCAATCAGTCTCAAATTCTGGTTTCAGTTTGTGGAAACTCTGACAGAGTGTAGCTGATCCTTTTATAAAGTTAGAAATATACAAGCTCGTCCAACAGATTACATGTTTCTGATCAGAAACCCAGGGTGGGCAGATAGCTGGGAAACACTCCTTCAAATGCTCCTTTCAGGTCAAGTTTGAGGTGCTCTTCAGTTTGCAGGCACAGAAAAGCTGACAGCTTTCCTCACAGTCAGCAGTTCAACAAAGCAGGCGTGATACACGAAACCAGATTAACTGCTCGATTCCTTTCAGTTGTTCTTTATATCTGAGAAAAAACACATATTGTGGAGAGATCTTGGCACTGGAACATAAACTGATTGGACAAATAATATGTGGTTTAGTGAGCTGAGACGTGGAATTAGAGCTGCAACAAGTGGTTTGACTATCTGAGTCCCTTTTCAGGCAAGAACGCCAATCATCAACCTTTAGTTCTCAGATCTGACAATCTGCAGCTAGATTTCAGGGGAAAAAAACAAGCTTTCCAAAGCTCAGAGAAAAAGTGGAACTTAATTTTAAACATGGATATGAGTCACTTTTTTTAAACTTTAAGAAACAGACAGAAGCCTTGCTGTATGTAGCCTTCTGCGAGCGTTCTTCTAATTCTTTGTTGATTGAAATTCTTTAAAAAGTTTTGAGCTACACTAAAAACTAAAATGTTCCTCTTTCTTCCATGGCCCGATGTTTTGGCATGACTGTCAGCACACCAGCCTCCTTAAAAGAAAAAACAGTCATTTTTACCCCTGGCGGCAATGACAGCGTACAGAGTGACAGGATGAACATGATAGCGGCTCAGAGATGCTGCTCATTCCACTAAACCGACAAAAGACTCAAGCAGATGCCACTGAAGTGTGTATCCATCTGCACTGTTGCCCTTTAATGGTGATGTAAAACACACACACAGACTACTATATTTTCACTAGTTAAGAGTTTTTGAGCCATGCCTGGTTTATCACCGGCCTGATTGAATCCATAAAAGTTCTGATGAAGGTTATTCTGTGAAACTGAGCCATGGTCAAACTATAAGGTTCAACAGATGTGACGAACCAACCGCTGTCCATCCACCCACTGCCCGTCGACAGCTGCCTGCACGCTGTAATTTCAGCTTCTTACATTTGATTGTCTAATTTAAAAGCTACGAGCCTGAGGTGACGACCAGCAGCCAGGCTGCCCTGTAACCTGTCCTCTCCCCACTTTAAATAAGCCTTTAAAAAACATTTATTTCTACTAAAATAAATGCAATGATGCTGCAGATTGGTGTGTGAGTGTGTGCCTGTGCAGAAGCATTTATTACGTGAGTGTCTGACATTCAAACAGGACTTTCCAGCACAGGAAGGTGAAGCATGCACAACATCAAAGAAAACACACTCAGTTTAAAAGAGAAGAAAACTGACACCAAAACACGGTCAACAGGACGTCACAGCATCTCTTTGAAAATATGGCACAGATTCTCCATCAGTTGTTCATGCTAAGGCAGAAGCACAAAGCTCTGTTAGGTTTTGCATTCACCAGGAAAGGCTAATTATCAAAATCTCATTCTGCGGTGACTTCAGTTACAGGTGAGCAAGATATTGTCGGGTGATGATGGTAATCTTGTTCCATGGATGGGTGAGGAGCTGCTCCTGATTGTTAACAGTCGGTAACAGGATTCATTGAGGAGATCAAAAATGAGCATGAGTGTGTCACAACTCTGTCCTCAAGAGCATAAGTCTGTGTAATTCTTTATTTCACAGGTCCATAAAAATTTGTGATGCAATTAGTTAGTAATTATGGAAGGAAAAGGGAGTTCAAACTAGTCACTCTTACTTCATAACCCGAGGAGTCTTAATGAAGTGCACAGCAGGGCAATGCTTTGCATATGGGATTTATCTACAAGCAGGCTAACAATCAATTCACCAAATAATATTTGTTTGGAAGCAAAGCACTTGCTAATTTGAGCTCTTATTAATGTTCCAGAACACCCTGAATCCACGTTTAAAGCCCTATTGTTTCTACATTGCTTTAACAGCTTCTTAAATTGGAATCAATCTGCTTTTCCCTTTTTTCACTTACATCTCCGGTTCCATTGTCAAATACTCTCGTGAGCCAAAGCTCTAAATATTGATGTCAGTGAAATTTGTAATACCTCTGGAGGTCACCTGATCACCTGATCATAATCCACTTTAAATCTGCAATCTAAGATTGCACTGCAAAGTATGCATCACATTTGAGCCAATAATAAAGTCCAGTGTTGGGCTGAAGTGTGTCGGGTCGGTAGTTCAGTAAAAATCTTTTTTTTCTTCTGCTTCTCTCAGAGTTGTGGAGGCCGATATAAATGAAAGCCTGGAATCGTGCCACTACACTACAAGTAAAACCACTCACAGAAAAAGACATTTCAAACCTATCAGGAGAGCAAAAGTCTCTTTAAGCTCGAAGGATAATGAGACGGATGACATGAAAAGCAGGAGGAACAGTTTGCTGCCTTTCAAAAGACTCTGCAGTTTATTGGCAGCCAAACAACAGCAACATTAAAGTCTGCAGTTCAAAAACAGAAACATCAGGGAATCTGAGTAAAACAGAGACTCTGCTGATGTGAGCAGACGGTTTCAGGTTCCCCTTTTAACACCAAAACTATGGCAACAGCAGCATTTATTTTAAAATGAAAAGCAAGAGCTGCTGTTTGTTGGCTGTGAGGGGAATTTCTCCTGTACAAATATACATTAAAGTAAATTAACGATCTCACATTGCTTCCAACAAGATCATTTTCTTCTCATGAGTAAATCAAGAGCTGCAACTTCAGGCTCAGCTTAAGCTATGTGCCTGTCAGTCATTTTCAATCAGACCCAAGATGCTTCCTCAGTTTGGCCAGCGACTCAATTTGAAGCAAGAGAAAGTGACCCGCAGCTTTCCAGCAGAGGATTATGGATCACACTCTGTGCTCGAGCTTCTCAGGTTGGCGATGCTACCGCCTGCAGAAATAGGCCACACTGGGTACTTTCCTAACACCCAGCAGCACTTTGAGATTTGCTCCATGAAAACACAAGCAGGACCTTGGTGAGGACAAATGCCTGCTGGCCTCCAACTCAAACCGCCTGTGTTATTTTTCAAGGACCAGAGGGCTAACGAGAGCAGCCCTGCCAGACCCTGTTCTCGTCAGAGGTCCTTATGAGTTCAACACACACAGCAAGTTAAAGAGTTTAAGGCTGCTTCCAGTAATGTGACATCCAGAAAAACTAAAGCTGGCACCAGAGAAGCACTTTTCACAAAAAATGTTTTAAGACTGTTAGCTGTTAAAACCTGGTGGATACAGCAAGCAACAGAGCCACAAAAGCAAGGAGCTACCAAACAGATTCAGGTTCAAGTGCATTCATCTCCAAATGGTTTTAGCAGGAGTTCGGAAAAAGACAGGCAACACCCCATCATTGAGTAGCCTCCGAGCATTCTCCGAGACATCCTTGGATAAGACGTGAACATTTTTCCTCTGAGAGTTCTGACACTTTTATCTGAGGGCAGCAGACAAACGAGCCCACTCAGTGAAATCAACACACAAAAATGGCGTTTTAGATGAGTCCATTGACGGTGAGCCTCCCGGCAGCAAAGCATGGAGAAAACGTGCAATAGCTGCAGATATGCTAACGTTGCAGCCATGCTGTCGGCTTTAAAGTCTGTGAGGCTTTTCTCACAAATTTGATTCCATCCATCTTTATTTTTTATGCAGTTACGGTTAATAAATCTGGAGAATCGTCCTGGAAAAAAGTGTTCTTAGTTTTAATACTGTCCGTGTTCGTCTTGTATTTCTAAGAGGCACTTTCTGTTTGGTTGCCAAGGTAAGGATGTAGACGATAAGTCTGATGGGAAAGGAGCGACTGTTGCAGCCATTCGACTTGTACAAGACTTGTGTCCGCTGTCCTTCCCTCCACCCATCTATCCATCGCCGCTCCGCAACAGAAAACCTCTCCTACGATAGTCCAACGTTTCACACTCGGGAGGAGGTGAAGCTGAAAATGTCAGACTCTTAGCGTCCTGCTTCACAGAGCCACTTCCTGTCTGTTGGGGTTTCCATTGGCCGCCGGAGCGAGGGCAGCAGTGGGCGTGTTTTTCTTGATTGAGGTGAGGCGGATGTGGGAGGTGCTGTGCAGATAGCTGGCTTGGCGCTCAGGGCGAGGACCTCGACCACATCGCAGCTGACTGAGGAGGAAGAAGAAAGCAAAACTCAGTGCAGATGTTAGTGGCGGGATTCCTGTTTACCAGATATTTTTATCGTTAGGAGTTTGCAGGCGTAAACCTCTGAGTGGTCAGTAAGCCTCTGTATCCCGATATAAACACCAGCCCTTTTACCATTTCACAGATGAGGAGAGGTTTGTGGGGAACATGCAGTGTGCCTGCTGAAGCTGAAAGCATGTGAGATTAGCGTGTTAAAGTTTTACAGGATTGTAGTTTCGTAGCTGAAAGGGCAAAAAGAAATCAGGTCTGGTTTCCATTTATTAGACTCATGTCACTGAATTCTGTTTTCATAAGCTGACATTTCAAACTTATCACTTCTTTGTTCCACTACAAAGAGAGTTATGCTTTTGCTTTATTATCTCTGAAAGGTCTTAATAGCTCTGTGATAGAGAAGATGATTGTAGCACTGGGACTACAGAGTTTTACTCAGTAACTGTCTTGGCAAAAGAACTCACAGCGATGGTTGCACATCTATCTTTTTCCATGTTTCAACAATTTTTTAACATTTAAACCTGCTGTGGAGGAGAGGATTGCTAAGCTCTCTTCTGCCTTTCCCTGACTCATTGCTGGACGTCGTTGTGTCACTGCCGTCAGCCTAAATATCTGGAACCGTGCGCACACGATCCTGCCTGCTCGATACCACTACTGGTGGTCAAAAATACAACAGTGTAATTTAATCTGTCTGCAGCATGTGAGACCATTCACTATGTTTAAGTTCTTCTTTCAGATTTTAGCACAAATGTGGAGCTGCATCTAGAGTCAGACGTACAAAAGAACAACAACAACAACAAAAAACTCAGCACGGGAGTAAAGACTGGACTATGTATGCACAGAGGGTTGATGGGGGAGTAAAAGAAAACAATTCAAAGACAGAGATGAAACAACCCAAAAAATAACCACTAAACACCAACATAAAAGAAACGCAGTGAAGGCATTAAACTCAATAAACTCCAGGCAGAAACCAGAAAACACAGAAACTCTTCACTCGAGTAGAAATAAAGCAAAACACAAAAACTAGAAGCTCTACGATAATAATAAGGAGTAATCAAAACAGGAATGCACTCTGACATTTCTGTAACAGAAGAACCTTCACAGAACTCACACAGGAAACTAAGAATTCAAATCTCCTTAAATACATCAAACCCAAGGACCACAGGACTGCTGTCGGCTGTTCCTGCTTTTAGTCGTAGCTCTGCAGTTTGGTTGTCTGCAGTTTTACTTACTCTACTTCTCTTTTGTAGAGATTCTCATTCAACAGTTGCTGATGAAGAATTTAGTTCTATGCTGATTTTTTTTAGCCAATAATTAATCATTGATTACAGCCTATATGGAAAATCTGCATCATGTCAGCCACAGATGAATGCCTCTTCCCAAAGAACTATTAAAAACTAAAAAGAACTGGCATGCATCCATGTGCTGGAGATATTTTTCTTCCAAAAGTCATAATCCTCAGAAACAGGCACACATGTTAATTGGCTCTCTGTCTCTGGGTGCAAAAGGTGAAGAAACATTTCTGTACTTGAAGTAAATCCTCACACTTGGACCAATCACATTGTTCACCTGTTACATTCTTCAAAACAGGCAAATAGCTATAATTGCATCCCAAAGGCACATTTTACTTTTCCTGCAGCGTCTCTGCTGCTTCTGAGGTGTCACAACCTGCTGCAAATCTGAGCTGAATGAGAGAAAAGCCCGTCCCCGGGTCACGGTTTCCCGCTTTTTGGGAGGGCTGTGCCATGGTTACGGTGAAGAGTTTAAATTAGGGTTTCCATCGTGCGGAGGCAGAAACATGATGAGTTTCAGGAGGTTTATTGGGTACTCAGGAGGAGTTTTAGAAAATGGCGAGGCTGTGATTATTTTTCAGCAAGTTATAAGAATCCATTCAGACTGAAGAATGAAATACTCGCTGTGTGGTTTTTATCTAAATGCTCAGTCTTGTATAAATGTTCGCCCTCTAGAAAGTTTTGATTAGTCTGTGTCTGCAGCTTCATGCAGTGTAAACACTCGGAGCACAAAACAACAGAAACACGTTGCCAATGCCATGCAGCGCAGACGAAGCGCGGCCTCGGCGCGCAAAGACGTTTCCATCCGTATCCTTCCACCGTCTGTAAATCAGCTACATTCACATTAAATTGATGCAATCAGTAATGTAGTAAAGACTCACTGGAGCATTCAGCCTCTGCTTGTTTTCCACCTTTTTATGGTGACAGCAGTTAATGTGAGCAGTAATAGAGTTAGCTGTAGCAGCGTCCAGTAAATCAGCATGCTGTGAACATTTCTACCTATAGTGAAGACAAACAGCAGCATTCACACGTTCAATCTAATTTCTTCTTCAGCAGTCGCCGTAAAATAAACACAACCACGTAATTAAGCGCGTTTTATATCACAGAACAGCCGAGACGAGCTCTGAAGCTCCTGCATTCGCTGGCTGACATCAAGCATCTGCCTCTGCTTGATGATTTTGATTTTTGAAGCTGATATTTGTAACTTGAATAACACACAATCCTGGCACCAGTGAATTTTAAATAAATGTAGAGCACTGACAGGCTGTTTGGGAAAATTACTGACATATTTCTGAATGACTGACTGACATCTTCAGTGGGAGCAGCTGAACCTGCAGCTGAGAGCAGAGTGAGATGTTAGTGTTTTATAGACACTGAAAAAAATAAAGCAAGGGAAATGTATTCAAATGTAGCTTTTTCCATATGTTTATTTTTATTATTATTATTTATTATTTTTCTTTTCTGGGAGTTTTGTGTGTATCCAAATAAGTGCTGCTGAATATTTTACTAATTCAAATTGTGCAGTGC